TCATAAGGACTAAAGCGCCTGCTTAGGAAGAGCGCAGAGGCTGGGGTTCGATCCCCAGTGCCCCCAGGGCACACTGAGATGGCAATTGAGACTGGGTGTGGTGGTGTGCACCTGTAATCCCAGCCCTTGGGAGGCTGAAAAATAGGAAGGATCACTACAAGTCTGATCTGTACAGTGAGACCCTATAGACCCTTACCAGAATACCTTAAAAAATGAAACAACAACAAATAAACAAATAGAGGTTATTCTTAAAAATAAAAATTATGTCAAATGTTATCCAATTTTGACAGCCTTCTACAACTTCTTAGAGCCCTTAGCCACCATTAGTCTATTTCTAGCTTTTGGCCCCTGCTTGCTTCACATGTTTGTAAGACAAAGCTTAAGGACCAACAACTCGCTAATGTTCTTGTCATGTTTTCTAGACTAGCAAAGGCCTATGGTTCATGAAACAATAAAACCTTCTTTGTCTCTTTTGGGTCAGTTAGGGTGAGACATCTGGTCCCAAGCTAGTCAAGATCAACATCTCTTTTCTGCCTGAAACAGTTACAAAAAGTGGACAGTTGGGCCTTCTACATCCCTTAAGAATAAGGCATCTAAGTCTGGAAATGGGGGAATGAAGTCTGATGGAAAAAATGAAGATATGTACAAACGAGACAAAGAAAATCAGAAGTTTGAAACTACTTTTAAAAAATCCTGCAGCTTCAGAACATAAAAGTTACACAAGCTTTTCTGCCTTCTGGGAAATCCACTCACTCAGAAAACCAGAAGTCCTACGGGGCTGTGCCCCTGTTCTTCACCTATAAATAGCACTTCCTCCCCAGACCTTCCATCCCAAGGAAGCGGCAAGGCTTGTGAGCAGCACATCGCAACTTCAAACACATGTCAATGTAGACGTTTGGATCCTAACACTGGGAGTGCACATGCTAGATCTCTCATTTTGAAGACCACCCCGCACTAAATATACCCAGCTTTGAATCATAAGGGTCCTCTCTTTCTTGAGGGGGCTCACACTCCATTTCTTTGAGTACACATATTAATTTTTTTTTTAGCTTTCTGCAAAGCTTTATTCCAGAGGGACTCAGTCCTTCTTGGCAGCTGCCTTCCTTATGGCAGCCAGCACGTTGCTCAGCTCCTTCCACTTCCTCTTGGCACGTACGTGCATCCCCACCCTTTTCTTGATGAACTTGAGGGCGCACTTGTCCTTGGAGACCCAGAGCAGCTCCATGGCACGCTGCTCTTAGGTGGCGAAGCTGCACGCTTCCCGGATCATGTCCCGCATGAATGTGGTGTGTTTGGAGAGGTGTCCGCGACGCCAGCTGTGCCTCTGTTTGCTCACATTCTTAGTCACCCTGTGGCCCTTGTTGAGGCCCACGGCCATGGGATAGTGGAGGGCCATGGCTTCTCTTCTTTGATAGTTGCTGTGGTAGAAGCTTAAAATTTTTGTCTAATAAATCTCTTCATGCTCTTACTGAGACATTCTGAAAATTCTTTTTCCATGTTGGGAGTCAGTGAGCCTACAACTGAATTCTTCAGGTAGGCTGGGGTTGGAAACCTCCTTGAATCCTGTCTAGTGACATTTCTAGCATGGAACAATTTGGGAAATGAATGAACACATGAAAGAAGCAACAGGTATGTGGGTGAAAGTGTGTCCCAGTGCCCAGGAAGGTCCTGTAAGATGAGGTACGGGTGAAGGTGAGGAAGGCCAAGTTCTGGGGCGCCGACTTTAGGACAGGGAGGGTCTAAATGTGGCTGAGCTCAATCATGGGTACAGCCAGGGAGATGGCCAGAGCTGGTGGGCAAGCTGAATGGGCCCTTGCTGGACACAGGGTGATGTAAGGGCAGAAATGTGGGGGCCACACCGTTGGGGCACTGATGGCTTTCTCCTCCAGCTCGCCGCCCTACATTTTCTTTCTTTTCTCTATCCTTCTTGCCTTCTCCTTTTCCTTCTCTCTATCCTTTTTTTTTTTTTTTTTTTTTTGTCTTTTTAAAAGAAATCTTCTCCCTTCTCCCCCACTTTTTTTCTTCCCACAAACATTGCCCTCCCACTGTGGGCCAGACCCTGGGCCAGCATAAGGTTACCCAAAGTGAAAACACATGAATTGCCCACATATCACAGACTCAGGTAGGAGGCAGGCCCATGGAAAATACCTTCCAACCACACTTCAACCTTCTCTGGGAGGGCCAGGCAAAATGAGCAGGCTGCTTTCCATGGACCGCGTGAAACCCCCTGTCTGCCAGTCAGCCCGTGGCAGCCCATTTTTGAGGTGAAGCTCTCCGTGCTACCAGGGGATCCAAACAAAGAACACAGGGCTTTAGAACATGTTTGAAGGCTGAAAAAGTGAATCTGTCACTCTAAAATAAGAAAAAGAGACAGTGTCAAAGCTGCCGAAAGTTTAATTAGAGGTCTTTAGATTCTAATATTATGACAAATTGATTAATTGTTATATTTAGTGGATCTGAATGTGACAAGATACTTGAACACATTCTGTTACTTTCATCTTTCTTAAATGCAAGGAGTTCTCAGATTCCCGAGCAGTGGCTCAAGTGGGAGAGATGAGGACCTATTATAAAGTGGATAATTTTTCATTATACCTGACTGATACCAAAAGCAAGAGGACTAGGAGCTTTTCTGCTTTTAGAGTAACAGCAAAAGAAGGACATTCCACTTGATGCTGGGCTGGGTATGCACGTCTTTATGCTTGTTGTCAGATGAGGAAGTGGGATTGGGGTTGCTTCTGTTCTCAGGGAGAAGGGAAATGGGGGGGGAGGGATCAGAGCCTCCAAACAACAGTCGGGAGCCCTGAGGCTCACCCCAGCCCAGCCCTAGACCCAGTGGGGCCTCAGCCGCACCATGTGCCATGTCTCAAGAGTGTGGGTGCCTTCCTAGTCTGTTTCTAGTCAGGAAGCCGAGCTGTGTTTAAAAACACCAGTTGCTTGCCCAGGGGCTGGGTCCATGGGACCAGGTAGCTGCTGTGGCTGGGGATTAGCAGTCATGCTGGGGACTAGAATGTCCCCCCAGTTAGGGATAATTCTTAATGCCTGCTTAGAGACTTTCAATAATTTTTAGCTCATCCCTAGACCCTAATGGCTAGAGCCTCTGTCCCTGAGAGACAAGCACCTTCCATGCAAGGTGATATCCTGTACATATGAGGGAAGATGAGAAGAAGCAGGAGGAGGAACAGAGCTATCACAGCTCCTCTTCCTGAGCTGGCCCAGAGCAGCTGGTCCAGACCTCAGGTGGGCTCTGACGGTACCAACCTCCCCACTCACTGTCAAGAATCCTTTGTGTATGTTCCAAAATATAATTCTTGTCATCACTGCTGTAGTGGGGAATAGAGGGCCCTCCTCATTCCTACCTCATGAGCCTTTCATGCGTGTTCTCTACCTCGTCTGCACTGTACACAGATTCAGGAGGCTAGGACAGTCACTAGTGCCCTCCATGGAGAAGGAGCCCAGGTCACAGCCCGCAACCAGCACAGTGAGGATTTCATCCAGGCCTCTGAGCCCTAGGACCAGGATCTCTCAGTCCCTTTGATTTCACAGGCTGTCACTCAGCTCACCGTGATACCAAATCCAGGACAGATCCTATTTTACAAGTGAGGCAACCAAGCCTGGACCAGAGCCAGGCATGATGTCATTACATCCAGTGGAGTCTCCAGGGCTGTTTTCCACAGCCAGAAGCTAAGAGGGCAATAAGAATACATTTGTGTCAGGTTGGTACATGCCTGTAATTCCAGCACTCTGGGAGGCTGAGGCAGAAGGATCAAATTTTCAAACCCAGCCAGGGTAATTTAGCAACTTGGTGATACCTGTCTTAAAAAATAAATAAAAAATAAAATAAAATAAAAAAGGGTTAGAGATGTAGCTCAGTGAAAGGGCCCTGAGTTTTGTAAGGTTCCTTCTGTTGGCATGAAAGAGAAGCGATGGGGAGGAAAGCAAATAAATCCTTTATTGCTGGGTGTGAGAGGGTGACTGAAAGAGAAGCGGGAGACCCTGAAGGTGGAGGCAGAGGCTGGCACTTTTAAGGGATTGGGCTAGGGGTGGAGTTTACAAGGGCAGTACAGGGACACATCGGGTGCTCATTGGGAGAGGGTTGGCAGGTGCAAAAATCAAAAAAGGAAGTTCCCGGTTAATCCAGGGAGAGGATATGGAAGACAGTCTAGGGACCACTCCTCCTCATCCATTCTGGGTCCCCTCACCAGGCTGATTTGCTGCCATGATGACCCGGTGGACCGGTGCATGGGTGTAGACCCATCATTCCTGTCTTTTTGTTGTTAAAGGGGTCATGACTCTCTCTAGCTGCTTCCAGCTGAGAGAGGGTGTTGCGTTAGGAGCTGGGTGGTTATTGGGATGATGGGTCTGGCCCACGTGGAAGCTGGTGCCAGGGGCCTCGGCCAGGACAAGAAGCTCTTTGGTGGTGAAAGCTCATATCCTGGATTGGAGAAAGCTTGAAAAAAGTTTAAAAAGACAAGGTGCTATGAGTAACAAGAGAATGGGCATGGTAAGAGGACCTAAAATGGCAAGGATAACTAGGGCCCATTGTCCCCAGGTGGGCCACCGGAGGATCAAGAAGAGGAGCTGGTAGTGCCCAACGTGGGGCTCAAAGACAGTGGGCCCACTGATGTACTGTGTTGTCTAGCTGTTTTGATAGGTATGCTATACTTGAAATGAACATCCCTTTTGTGTCCTAGAGCTCCTACTGCATTATGTTTTTGAGAGGTAGTGTATAGGGTAAGGGTTGGGTTAGGTTTGGAGGAATGAGAGATGGGGCCTTTAAGAGGGCCTCTTGTAGCTTGAGAAAGGAAGACTGTATGGGAGTGGTAGGCAAGGAGCCTTTAGATGCTTTATGGAGAGGTTGAACCAGGGAAACAAAGTTAGGAATCCAAAGGTGAAAGAAGTTGGCCAGACCAAGGAAGAACAGGACTTGTTGGTATGTATTTGACACTTGAAGGTTGTGGAGGAGGGCTTTGCAATCAGCAGTGATTGTGCGAGAAGTGGGAATGAAGGTAAGTTCTAGGTATTTGACCTTCGGTGAAGCTATTTGAGCTTTGGCAGGGAAACCTTATAGCCATGACCTGAGAGAAAGAATAGCTGTATGTTGTATGGCTAAGGCATGGGAGGGGGAACAGAGAAGATCATCTGTGTACTGGAGGGGAGTGCTAGGTTTGAGATTGAGGGTTGCCAGATCAGTAGACAGAGCTTGGCTAAAGAAGTGAGGACTGTCCCTAAATCCCTGAGGCAGAACTGTCCATGTGCACTCCAGGGACCAGAAGGAATCTGTGTCTGTCCACATGAAGGCAAAGAGGTCCTGACGATCAGGGTGTAGGGGGGATAGTGGAGAAGCCACCTTTGAGGTGCAAGACCACCAAATGGGCATTGGAAGGGGGAATATCAAAGAGCATGGTGTAGGGGTTTGGCACCATTGGGTGTCACCCGCCTGTGCCCAGCAGTAAAGGGCTCTTTGCTCTCACCTGCTTCTCTTTCACACCAGAAGAAGGAGTCTTACAAGTTCAATCGCTAGTGTTGAAAAACAAGCAATAAAAAAACCTCTTTGTAAGACTTGGCACAGTCCTTGACTCTATCCTCTGCAACTGGGGTCTACATGTTTGCAGCACCTAGGTCAGGCAGCCAGAGGAGAGGGTCTGAGGATCAGACCAAGTCACAGCAAGGCCACAGCAGGTCTCTGACAGACTGAGCTCTGGGACCTATCTGTCACCAGACACTTACTCTGGCCTTGAGTGGTGGAGCCTTAGTCATTGTGAGGAGCATCTTGCTCCCAAAACCCCAGGGCCCCTGCCACCCTTAGTCCTGCCATGCTCATACTAAGGACAGGCCCACAAGTCCTCGCTGAGTTGCAGGGGGCAAGCAAAAGGGCCAGAGACCCAGAGGCCCCTGAGTACTATTCTGCCCTTCCCAGTGGGCATCTACCAGTGTCTTGCGGTTCCAAGTTAACAGAGGCCAAATGTATCAGGCATAACAACCAACTCAAACAACAGTAGCGTTGTGAAAAACAGGATGTCCCAGTCCTGCCAGCTGGCCTCAGCCTGCTGTAGATGCAAGGGCCTTTCCTGAGGTCACTAATGCCCATTTTCTCTTTGTGGAGACCCTAGTCATTAGGCACCCACTTGCACCCACTGAGTGCTGGCCCCGGGGGAAAAAGCACGAGATCCCTGCTTTCCCAGTGAGGCTGTGCCCCGAATGGTCATTCTCACTCCAAAGACCATTCTTACTGAGATAGAGAAGTTAAGGAAAGAAAGAGGGCATTGAGAGGAAGGAGAAAGGTGGTATGAGGGCAGAGCCACAGAAAAGCACAGTCACAGCTCTGACACCTGTTCTCAGAGCTGTAGAGTCACAGCCCACAGGCACACCAAATGCCATGGGATGGGAGCCTGATGTCATCTGGGCCAGGTTCTTGTCAACTTGGGATGGGTCTCACCTCCTTTCCTCAGTAGGATGCCCCAGAGAGAGTCACTGGTTATTGTAGGGACAGGCCTGCCTCTCAGGGGCAGGAAGGAGAGCCACAGAGCATGGCCCTTATCCCTACTGAGGGTTGAAGCAGGAAGTCCACTTGCAACCAGCTGTGAAAGAAGCCAGTAAGGTGGTGAGGTCAGGAGTGCAGGGAAGGTGCTACCTCGATTGGGCAGGTGGGATGGGCATGAGAGCCAGATACACCATGAAGGAGAGAGTACTGGGAAGAGGGAGAAAAAGTGCTTGAGGGAGGTGGGGCAGGAGTTTGGAGGGGTAGTGAGCAGACCCAGGCACTCAGATCCCCTCTGGGGGCTGTGCTGATGGATGGTACAGTGGGGAAGGGGTCATAGAGTGAGGCCTGGATAAGGCAATGGTGGCTATCTCCCATGATTTCCCTGTACCCTTGGTCAAGGAGGTTAACCTCTTTGAACTTCATTTGGCCACCCCTGGGAAACAGGAGCAGATTTTGCTCACTCTCAGGAAGAGCTACCTGACAGCCAGGTGGAACAAACAGAACTTGGGAGCACCTCACCACTGTAAACATTCACACTAGGCGGGCTCTCTCTCTGAGATGTAGAAGGTGCCACACACCAGGGACCATGGGGCCAAGTGACCTCTCAGGTCACAGAGGGAAGACTGGTTTTCTTGGAGCCAAAATTCTATCCCTGTCTTGGTGGATGACCTCAGGTTAGTGACTTCTTTCTGAGTTTAGGTCCAAATGGCAGAGAAGTTAGACTGGAGGATCACTGTCCTCCCACCAGAACACTATCTGATCCAACCATTCCCTGGTTTCTCCCCAAGCCCCACCTGACTAACTGCTCTATGGGCCTGGTCTTGGCCTTGGCAGAAGGTCCTGCCCATGTCAACTGTTGCAACTCAAGCATCCTGGGTGACCTTTGAGTTGAAAGTCTCTTGGCTCATCCTAGATTATTTTTTTTGGAGTCTCTCTGGATGGTCCTGGAAGAGGGCTCACCTCTCATCCCTTCACCAACGTATATAAGGGCCATCACCACCTGTAGAATCCTCGGGGACTGTATCAAGAAGCAAGGTGTCCGTGAAGATCTTCCAGCGGATCTGTGAGTGGTTTCCCTCCTGGGGCTTTGGAAGGCACTGTGGGCAAACAGAGGTTTAGCAATGCATGACCAATTTAGAAATATGTAGATTATAGTATGAAGACTCTCATGGGAAGGTGTGCATGGGTTTGTTCATACTTTATTTTATTGTACTGGAGTCTTTTTTATTGAGGTTTTTTATTGAGAGGTAAAGATTTTTGGGGGGTGTCAGGCATTTCAACAATGAATTAAGTCACAATCCATCCCTCAAGGACCTCACATCTCGAAAGGAAGGCAGAAAAAAATTGGTACCAGGACCCTAATCATAAAACAAAGGCTTCCAGTGGGTGTGGGGTCCCTAAATTATATGCTAGGGAAGGCTCTAGAGTAGTGTCACCTCACAGAGGTGATGTCTTGCTGAAGCAAGAGAGTTAGGAGGCATTGACTGAGGTGGTGAAGTCTGAGCAGAGTAGGCAGTGTGTACAAAGCACCTTTGGGTAAGGAGTGTGGATGTGGGGTTGGGGTTGCCCTTTCTATTGCAGTTCCCACCTTCACCATCGGGACAATGTGCTCTCAGAGGATGGTTAGAGGAAGGCCAAGAGGAAAAGCGACAGGTGGGCAGGGAGACCCCTCTTCCCTCTGGGCATCCTCACTCTGTTCTCTCCACAACTTTCCAGGTGTCTGGAGAAAAGATGTTTCAACTCTGGAAGCTTGTTTTCCTGTGCGGTCTGCTCACTGGCACCTCATTGGCTCTTCTTTCTGATCTCACTGGTGGCCTGGTAAATGCTGTGGGCCAGGCAAATCCTGTCCTCCAGAATGGGCTTCTAGAGAATGTAGAAAATACAGCTGAAGGTGAGTTGGGTGGGGGCACACTCAGGAGTTACTCCCCAATCCCTGTGCCTCCATGCCACTGGTTCGTCCCTTCATAAGTGGCTTATGAGAAAGAGGACTCTCCAATTCCTGGCTCTTTCTCTTATTTTTCTTTTTCTTTTTTTTTAAAATGGTTTTAATTGGTACAAATTTGTTGTATATAATGGTTACATTTGTCGTGGGGAGTTTAGACATGTATGTATCATATCTTAGTTTTTTTTTTTTAATCAAATTGGTAGGACAGTTTCAATAATTAACACATTGCATACATTCTTCCTAGTGGTTAATTGCTGTACAAGATGCGGACATGATATCCTATTTATAAACACTATTAGAACAAATCGCTCTATTCATTAAGAGAATGTAACTATATATCTATCCTAACCACTTTGAATACACAGATACAAAATGGACATTCATCTGTATACCCTTTTTTGTTAAGTTCCGTTATTTGAATATTATAGGTGTGTTAACTCAGCAAAATATTCTAAAAGAGTCCAGTAACCCATAATAGTATTGGGTCTTCCGCTTGACTGGCAATGTCAGAAATTGTTGACCTGAGTCCCCTACAGCTCAACATAACAGCATGGCTTTACTTCTTATATTTCGTTTTTCTACTTTTCTGCTGGATGGTTAAAACCAAGGTAAAGCAGAACCTATGCAACAAGAGTGGTAGGTTTTGAGTCTGATAAGGTCTCTTATTTTTCTTGAAACAAATAATGCTACAGTAAATATCCTCTGACCTATCCTGATATAAACTATTGCCAATAAATATAACATAGATTTCTAAAAGTAGGTATTTCCAAAGCTCAAGAAGTGTGCATTTGACATTGTGGAAGTGCCCACAAGGTCCTCCTATTGATGCTGTCCCCCACAGTCTAAGAGAGCAGCTTTTTCCTCTCTCCATTGCCAACCCAGGGAGTCTGGACAACTTTCAATGCTTTCCCAGTCTCATGAATTGAAGACTATAATTTCTTTCATTCTGCCTTTCTTTAATTAAATTCTCTCATTTAAAATTATGCTTATGAGGGCTGGCAAAATAGCTTAGCGGACTAAGTGCCTGCTCAGGGTCTGATCCCCAGCACCACACGCTACATCAGCCCTGCCCCTGGGGGAGCTGAGCTGGCCACAGAGACCGGGCGTGGTGGCACACGCTTGTAATCCCAGCACTGGGGAGGCTGAAAACAGGAGGATCACTATGAGTCTGAGCTGCATAGTGAGACCCAGTAACCAAATACATTAAAGAAAAGAAAAAAATAAAGAAAATTGTACTATCTATTTACGTACTCCACCTTCAATATTTTGTTCATATTCTTAGCAGAATTTTATGTTGGGTTGTTAGGCTTTCTCTTCCTGATTTGTGTTACCTCACTGAGAATGAAAGAAGTGAGCCCATCACTAGTTTGTGTGTCTATAAATGTACCTACCTATCCACTTGGTTATACCTGTATGTTATGCTGACTTTCTAAAAAATTTGGCTTTCTTGTCTTTTTGTGAAAATACTAACAGCACACTGACAAACAGTTTTCATAGCAGGAGGTCTTGCAAAGACACAGAAAGGACCCAGTCTCTTTCACAACTGGGAAAATGCAAGCTAGAGAAGAAAATGTTAGGATCAATTCCAGCTGCTGGTTTCTGCAACTACATATAGTTAGATGATCAACTTTGTTTCAATTGCTGTGTTCCTTGCATCACTCTACCTAAGTGTGTACTGTCCATTGCACAGACAAGTTGCATTACTAAACCTTAATCTCATTTCATCAACAGTTCTCTGCTTTTCCTTGAATTAGTCATTGTTTTGCTGCTTCTCCCGTGGATTATTTCCTACATGCATATCCTTAACTGTTCCTCTGTGCCACCTGACACTTGTGAGGTCACTCATTCTCTCTTGTCCTGCTGTTCTCCAGAGACCTCCCATTAGAATACTGTCCCCTGCCATCGTGTAAATTACGGTTCTTTGGGCCTGCTGCACAGCGGTCATTCCAGGGTTCCTGCTTATCCCTTTCATGAGTTTAGAGTCATTTTTGCTCTTGGTTCTAGATTTTCCAGTTTTTAAGTTGATTTTCTCAATGTATTTGATCCAGTTTTATAAACTTGAGTGAGCTCCTCATTTAGAGCAAGAATCTCTAGGAACAGGGGTACATAATTGCTAATAACAACTGGGGTAACTGATGTATTGTTTTGTTGATAAGATTTTAGTCTATGAGTTTAGAGGCAGTAAGGATGGCAGACATCTTCCCTATCTTGATGATTATACACATTCCTTAACTTTTGAAACAACTTCATCAGTGTAAAATGAAGGTAATAGCAATACCTGTCTCACTAGGGCCATTAGGGGTCAAATGGAATAACTTATACACACCACTTCATCTGGCGCATGAACTTAAGCTCTCACCTAAGTGCTACACACAGTAAATGGGGATGTTTTTGGCAGGTGTGCTTCAGAAACTGAAGTTAGACGTGGGGGTGCTTCAGAATTCCAGTGCTTTCCAGCAGGCCCAGACAAAGATCCTGGGAGCTGACCACTTGTTGGGCAACATCCTTTCTAAACTTCAATCTCACGATGGTCTTTTGGGGTATGTTTGTGCTTCTTCGTGGTGATCTTTGTTCTAAGAAAAGAGGATGCTTAGAAAGATAGAGAAGCTTAGTTGAAGATCAAAAAGAGATGGGCCAGTGTGGTTACTATCTGCAGAGAGAAGCGGTATGAGGTCAGACTTGCTAGAGCTTGAATAAATTATCAACACGGCTCTGGGCACCTTGGGGGTTTGGGCACTAACATTCTATGATTTTAGGATGAAGGTGAAAGTTCTATTCATTCCCACCTGTAACTTTTTGCTCATGCCTAAAACCCCTTTCCAAATAATCAAACTGTCTCCTTCAAATGTGGCTGGGAATAACAGGTTAAATCCTCATCCAGGGAAGGAAAATTCATGCCTCTTGGCTCCAGTGTGTGCTGGACCCATAGAATTTTGGAGTTGGATTTGGGCTGAAATTGGGCTCTGGTGCTTACTGCACTCCCTGGGAACCATCACACGTGTTGGCCCTCAGTGTGTTGGGTCCTGACAGGCAGAGCTTCACAGTCCTGAATTAGGCCAGGGAGACAAAGCAGGCTGGGCTGGTGGGGCCCAAAGTGCCGCATGACTCTGGCATAGAGAAGGACTCAGATGATGGCTGCTTGGGGAATAATAAGTGGTCTTTTGGGGTTTTGAGCAGAGTGAAAATCAGCAGATCTATGATCGTGGATGCCAAACTTGAACCTGCAGCAAATGGCATTGGTGCCACCCTGAGGTTACCAATCGTTGCTAATGTCACCGTGAACCTGTGAGTATGTATAGAATCAGACATGGGAGGGGTGGTGCACATGTGGTCACTCCCCTAACCTCTGAAACTGGACCTTCTCAGGCTGCTGGGTGGCCTCGGACCTCAGTATCCAATACGTAAATGACATGACTTCTCCAGGTCCAGAATCCCAGTCTTTTTTTTTTTTTTTTTCAGAACCGGGGATTGAACTCAGGCCCTTGCACTTGCCAGGCAAGCACTTACTCTACTGAGCTAACTCCCTGGTCCCCAGAATCCCAGTCTTTAAAATGTCCTAGTGAACTTCGGGCATAACCCAGTCTCTTTTAAAGGATTACTGCATTCAATTTATTTCTGAGATTATAACTTTTATCTAATCAATGACATGAAAACCTGCAATGGCATGGACATTCATAATTCTTTGGCAAAATTTTTTCATTTTTCTATCTTTCAAAATTCTCTCTAATGACAATGACAAATACATACAACAATATGAATCATAGACTAAAGAACACATACAGTAAGTATAACATTGGAGTATTTTCAGTTTATAAATTTAGACAGGAGAGTGACAGGAGAGAACACATGTAAAGGGATCCTGGAGGCTGTGAGGCAGCTCAGTGATACAGTGCTTGCCTATTGCCCCAGGCACCTGGGTTCCATCTTCAAAATCACAGAAATATATTTAAAAAAAGTAAAAAAGGTTATCCTTGAATGAAGTGCTCAAATAATGCCATGAGTGGTGAGATCTTGAGATAGGTACTTAACTTCTTTTTACTCAACGTCTCCTCATTCAGAGTATGATTTGCCTCCTAGCATTACAGTAATGACTATAGGGACATAACCAGACTAAATACTTTGTGCTGAAAATGTTGACAGTCACATTAATTATCAGAGTAATGATGAATAAACATTTCCTATGAGCTGAACCCAGGTAGCTCAGATAAAAATCCTAATAGAAACATGTAAGTTCCAAAGTAGACTATGTTTTTTGTTTTGTTTTGTTTTGTTTTGTTTTGTTTTGTTTTGTTTTGTTTTGTTTTGTTTTTTTGTGGTATCGGAGATTGAACTCAGGACCCTGCACTTGCCAGGCAAGAACTTATTTTACTGGGCTATCTCCCCAGCCCAACTATGTTCTTATTCACTAGGCAATGGTGACCTTGCTGTGGGCGTCTGGATAATGTCCACAAAAGCAGAGGAACCCAGAGTTTCTTTCCTTGGGTCACTATGAGCCCTGTTTCCTACAGGCCTTTCGTAGGGCAGCTGGTCAATCTGGGCGTGTCTTTGGACCTGCTGACTGGAATTGATCTTGCAACCAGTGCCCAGTCTGTCCTCCCCACTGTGGCTGTGGGAGATTGCGCCGCTGACCCAGCAAGCATCTCGCTGTCCCTTCTAAACAGGTATGGCCTGTCCATCTCAAGACATCTCTTGTCTCAGAGGTGTTTCTGTCGCAGTCTAATTCCCAAGATCTGGGATAGAGTGGTGTGATAGTTCTGCCTCTGCAGTCAGACTGGCCTCAATTCACATATCACCTTTGCCACTAACTTGTGAATTTATGAATAACTTATTATGCCTGTTCTCATTTTGATAACTGCGAATTGGGGACAATAATGATGGCAAAGTCACCTCTTCTCCTGCGGAATGTTTGTCAAAGATTGTTATGTGCCAGAAAAATACTGCTCCAAGCTCTACAGTGCTGAATGACAAGGATGGACAAGGTCCTATCCTTGTGGAGTTTCTCCCAAGGGACAGGCAGGCAGAGGAGCAATCAGTCCATCAACTGATGACTCACAAGGCAGAAGTGAGCTGTGCTCAGTGCATGACACCAAACAGGACACTCTGATGAGCAAACCCTCTCTGCCCAAGGAGGTGATAATCATGCTAAGAGTGGAGGTGGGAGGAGGCAGCCCTGGCACAATTTGTCTCATCATGAGTGACAAGGTTTGGGGCTTCCCATCCTTTGTGCATCCCACTGTCCTCAGAGCCCAGCTGGGACCTGGCATGTGATTGGTGCTCTGGAATTTGACTTGGGTGAATGAATGAATGAATGAATGAATGAATGAATGAATGAAATCTCAGGAGTGAGAGAGACTCTCATAGGTACTGGATGAATCACTGGTCAGATACTGAATGGTAAGAAATGGTCTTTCTGGATATGGCTCTGAAGTGAGAAAGTCCATTCTGTTCTGTGTCACCTGTCATCTAGTGGTGTCCTTCGGTGGCCCACTACATGAAGGGACTTCAGATCTCCCTCTGTCTTCCAGAAATAATGCCTTGATCCAAACTGTTGTGGACTCTGTGACCAAAACTCTGAGTAATGTTGCGTCCCTCCTGATACAGAACCAAGTGAGTCCCCTACTCTTTGGGCCCAGAGTCAAGTTGCTGGGCAGCTGGGTGCTGGATTCTCTGGAAAGCTTTTCTTCAGCGGTGTCAATTTCCTTTCTGATGCCAAAGGGCCACTCCTCTTACTCCACAGTAAGAAGATCAGAGGAGTAGGCAGTTGTGAAAGCCACGAGGTCTCAGATTGGAGGCCTTTGCCATGGCCATGCTCTGCCACTATGGCTTTTGAGCTCATGCTTGCTTTTAATCAACATAATTTTTATCTAAAAGCATTTAAGTAGACAAATGTAAGTTTTATTTATAATGCATTCATTTATAAGCAAATAAATAACATGTCACTATTATAAATGGAAAACTAATAGAAGTTATTACATCATGTAATTAGAAGAAAAAAGTGCAGGATTACAAAACAGGGAATTTCTGTTTGCAATCTCTTCCACATCAAAACTCATGTGCCCATGTATATAGATTCTGGGGAACAAAGGCCCATAGACTGTGACTCAGTCCATCTGTGTGGAGTCTGGGGGACCTGGGTGTATAAATGAATAGTCCTCTTGGCAGTTCTGTGACTGGAGAAAGCCCTTGTGTTCCCTATGTGGTCCCCAGGCCAGTCTCTAGGCCCTCTGGGCATTCTGTGGAAATGCAGAGTCATAGGTTGGTCCCAACCCTGATGACCAGGATCCAGCAGGGAATGTGTATCCCTGGGACCTCAGACAGTTGCTTGATCATACCAAGGGCGACACTAGACACTTTACTGCTCCAAGGCTCCCATATGCATTTCCAAGACTAGGGATGCTAATAGCAGACTCCAGAGTGTGTTCATTTCTGATATCAGGTCCTAAGGATCTTAGATCTCAGACTGGTAAGATTCCATTGTTCTAGATCTGAATGTGCAGAGGTGCTCAGGACCCTGTAAGGGAGCTTGTCTGTGGGCGGCACAAGGTGTGTCCCTAGCTGAGAAGCACCCGTCCTGAGTGTCCTAAACTTTTCTCACTCCCCTCTCTCTGGCTTTCAGATATGCCCACTGATACGACTCATATTGAATGGTCTAGAAGTGCCATCTCTTTCGAGTGTCACATGTAAGTCACAGAGATTTGGGTATTTTCCATAGACAGCCCCTAGCTGTGGAATCACCCTTGCTGGTGTATTTCAGAGAACTGGGGATGCACAAGGACCCAACTTGCTGAGCCAGGTGGTGGCTGCAGACTTTTTTTCTGGTACCTGGGGACCCTCTATGGCTTTCACATCACCAGACTGGGGCTTCTGTGGCAATAGAAATAGGGTCCTTCAGATGCCACTTCAATGAAAAGATCATGACTCTAGACCATAGGGCATCACTGTGCTCTGAATACACATTTTCCCAGCCGCCCTGTGGAGAATATTAACCTCGTACCAGTTTTACAGATGAACAACCAAGGCTCAGAGATGTGGTTTGACATGTTGGAGCTCCTATGACTGCCAGACTGACCCCCTGTGGGAAGGTGGCTCTTGAGGGGTTGATTTCTTTTTACTTTTCCAGTAGTAGAGACTAATGCTTGATCTTGATTCTGTTCCTTCAGCTCTACTTCAGCCACTTAATCTGCAATCCCCACTTGTATAGGATGGATAAGGGGGACAGACCACCATGGCATCACCTGTTGGTGAGTGGCAGGCTCTAAACCAGTTCAGAAAACCTGTAGGGAGGTGGAAGGGACTGGACTGCGTCTCTTTTCCAGCAGCAGACTGAGCTATGGCCTTGTTGGAGTCCTGATTCTGCTTACACCCTGATCTCTGAGTCGGGATCACACAACCAGATCACGTCCAGATCCAAATTATAGACTGAGTTTAATGCCAGTCATAGCTGTAGACTCAACTGTACCCACACACTGAACTCTGCCTGTGACCTCAGATTCATCCAGGATCCCAGTCGTGTTCTTCATCTTGACCCTGGCTCCAGTCATAGCTCTACTCAGTATTTTACCACCTGGCACTGTTTCCAAGAATGGGAGGGAATGAGGATAGGCCAGTGACAGGGGCCAGGAAAAGACATCAAGCCTTAGGTGTCAATTCCCTGTCCCGAGGCCTTAGACCAAGCAGGGAATTAAGGGAAGATCAGGGACCATGAGTCTAGGACAGTTGAGTGCCATTACATGTCCAGTGATGTGCAGCTCCCATATTGCTCTGACGTTTTCTTCTAGGTGTTTAGCCAGTGTTTCAACTGCACTTCCTCATGGTATCTCCTTGTGAGAAGGTGGAGCCACCATTTATGCAGAATGACTGCCTGAGCCCCAGCTGGAAGAACCTCCCAGGCACCTCTTCTCTTCACACAGAGCAGTGGGATCTACATACTGTTGCACCTCTCTCTAATAATAAAATCCCATTTTTGCATCCTTCATGTGGCTTGCTACTATCCAGTTATTGGGGTGGGTTGTCAAGGTCAGGGTGGCCAATGACCACCCTGAATTGCAATAGATGTAGGAACATTCAGGTCTCCCCCCTTTGTAGTGTATCCAAATTGGACACTGAGAAATGGAGAGGGCCAGAACCTGGACACATAACCAGTCTCCATTAGTGAAAAGAACCCAGGATCACCCAGTCCCACATCTATCAGGAGTTCAGTGTGCAGTTGTCCTGTCCTTGCAACAGCCACATCCTGGGGACAAACCCAGCCAGTGCTTCCCTTCATTTTTCTCCCTGAGGATTCATGGAGAATTGGGGACTGCTTGGTCTAACAGGACTCAGGAGCATAGGACAGAGTGGCTGAGGGTCAGAGGCCTGTGTCCCATCCCTGTCTGCCTTTGCCTGCCTGGGGAAGGGGTATAATCTTGGAATTCAGGCTCTGTCCTCCACGGTGCTGCAACACCAGTGGTCTTCATCGCTAGAGCTTCCCTGTTCTTCCTATCCTCAGCCTGAGGACCGCCACCCCCCGTGAGGTCACAGACCCTGGGGATGCTCTGCTGTCCCACATGCTCCTTTCCCAACTCAAGTTTCCTCCATCCAAAGCCCTGAACCTGTCCAAAGGCAGCATCACCCTGCTGATACCATCACACCTTGTTTCAGGAATGCACATGTGTCCCCTCCACTGTCACCACCTCTATTTCAGGAGGAGGAACTGGAACTCAGAACCAATGTGACTCATCTAGGTCACACATCGAGCAGATGACAAAAGGATTTTATTCCATGGCTATGGCCACTGTGTGAACACAATACCCTGACTCAGAGAAGTGACACTGATGCTCTCAATGGCCATTTCTCCTGGACCCCACAGAGGCCCCCAGTTGCAGGGGCTGGATGAGTTCCCTTCTGTGTTGTTCTTCCCTAGTCCTATGCTGGCCCTTGGTCTCCTCCTTGTACCGCAACGAGGAGACTCTACCTTTTCCACATCCAAGTTTGCCTCTGTGGGAAAACAGCCCAGGTGACAGCTGACACAGGTGGATTTAGGATCCAAGCAGTCTCTCGTCTCTGAAGGGCATGTGTCCATTAGGACTGGGGTGTTTGTGCTGAGCATCTGTGTTGCTCAGAAAGATACTGCCTTGGAGCCTGGGCGATTCAGGCTCTAGAGTCCAAGGCACAGCATCATTGCCCCAGCTGCTGATTCTCCCAAGATCCTCCTCTGCCAGGGCCTCCTCCCCTGAATGGTTACCTTAGTGCAGCATGGAGCCCTGGGGCAGCATCAAGTTACCCTGCATCCATGTCTGTACCTTCTCAAGACTCCTGTGAGGGCCTCAGCTCAGCACATTTCCTCTCTGAATTTTGATCACATTGGCACTGCCTATCCAGAAACAGGGGGTCTCTCTTCATTTTCTGATGCCTGCCTCAATTTCCTATTTCAGTGTAATATAATTTTCATTATAGATGCTTTTACTTTCTTGGTTAGTATTTAGGATGCGGCTCACCATGCACAGGACAACATCTTGCTGGCAAAGAGTCTACCAGTCCACAATGTCAAGACTGTGACACTGCACTGTGCTTGGTGGGCAGGCCCCAAGGTTTCTGGTTTTCATTATGTGAATCAATGAGAGGCTGTTTGAATGGATGTGGAAATGGAACCCTGGAGATATGAAATGATTTCTGGGAGTCTCGATGCTGTACACAGGCCAAACTGCCTGACATCAGCCTCCTGTATGGCAGGTGCTGGCTGGGGCAAAGAGAGACTCTGGGCACAGAGAGCAACCATCTGTGTCAGAGGAAGAGATGGTTATACAGATGCATTATAGCTAAACAGTGCTATGGGACACAGGAGTCTTGTCATTTTTTTTCTTAGTCTAATTGCTACACTTGAGGACATGCATGATGAGTTAGGAACCACAGAGGGCCTTTATGAAGGGCAGCAAGGGCTTAGGATCATGGTAGATACCAAGGACAAGAGGCCCCCTGGTGACTTCTGTAGCCAGTGTGGAACGTTGTGAGGAACATTGGGAAGGAGCCCATCCCTCCATGCCCCGACAACCCAGGATTCACTGTTCCTTGCCACCATCTCAGACCTTAAGATAAGACCAAGGAGTCTTGTCTTCTAACAAGAGCTGTGGAAGGTAATGGTTCAAAAACAAAATTGGGTAAAGAGGAGAGTTAGATAGTGTTTAACATGGCCACCAGAAAGTGTTATGTAGGCAGAAAACTTATGAACACTTCCAGACCGAGAGCCATAGTCCTATGTAAGCACTGTTGGGCTCAGCCCAGTTATCCACACACAGCCCACTTATGTGACTCTCCCAGTGTGTGACATCATTCCTTCAGGGTAGCATCTCATGATCAGATTTATTAACACTTTGCCACTGGACATCTTACCACACAGGAGCAGACTCCAGAATGATTTTACCAAACCAGATCTTCCTATTTCAGGACAAGGAGAGTGTATTAGTTGCTTTTCTAATTGCTGAGACAAAATACCAAACACCCAAAGTTAGAAGAGGAATAGTTTATTTAGCTCACTGTTTGTGGAGGTTTTAACCCATAATTGGCTGGGTCCAAGGCGGGGTGGCTGGACATCACAGAAAACAAGCAGTCCATGACAGCAGAAGACAGCAAAAACAAGGAAGGGAGGAGAAGCCTCTTTCTGTTCCTTATATGTATGCAAACCACTTGCCCTAGGGTGGGTGTAGCACTTACACCGCTAATTTGAGCACTGGACCCTGAATCAACTACAAACCCTAAGTTTAAACACCTCTGGAAAGCCC